TACCCTATTTATGACCAAAATCTGCGATATTCCCTACCCTATTTATGACCTGACCAAAAATTCGATACCCCATCTATGACCCTTAAATCGAAACACTTTTATCAGACCTGCGTTATAATTAGTTCCTTTGTTCAGACCAATGTTAAATTACCGTAAACATAATTTATGAAGGGTTTTTGTTTATTTTCTTTTCGATAATGACGAAAAAGTGGCTTTTTCTTAAAAACATATTCATATCAAGGTTAGAGTGCAAAAACCATACCCTATTTGTGACCAAAATGGCCAAAATTCGCTAATATCGATACCCTATTTAAGACCAAAACGACTGAAAAACAATACCTTTTGGGGCCGCACATACCTATATAGCCCATATAGGGGCGTACCCCCACCCCCCTCCCCCACCGGGGACCGGCTCAAGCTTATCGATAAATTGAGCTTACCGAAATTTCCAAGATGACGGACGCGTTGCGGATTTCCTTTGATTGTAGGTGCAGCTTTCGTTTGCGGAAAATCGAGCACAGAATAAGTTGGAATATTATCAAGTAAGGTATTCGTACCCATTAGAAATTTAAGCAATGAAAGTAACGAAGAAATGCTGACAAATGAACATGCTCTCGGGCGACAGAAACACGATACATCCACCGGAAGTCACACAAGTGATTAGGATGAAGTTTCGTGACGAAAAAACGGCAATTAGTATATGAAATAGGACTACATGCTTGTCCAATTTGGAAATAATTGGATGGAAAAAATTCCGACGACAGCCAAAATTGGACGAGGCCGCAGGCCAAGTCCAATTTGGCTGTCAGAGGAATTTTTTGAATCCAATTATTTCCAAATTGGACAAGCATGTAGTCCTGTTACTTATTAATTATATAGCTCGTGAGGTAATACAGCTTTGCGAGGAAAACTACATTAACTGAACAAAAACAGACTGGGCCCTCGATCTTTCGAAACTGGGAAAGTCTCGAAATATCCGGTGATCTTCGGAGATCGCCGGAGATTGTCACAAGTCTTCGGAAATCCTGGGAAGTGTTCGGGTGATCTTCGGAGATCTTAAAGTGATCTTCGGAAATCTTCGGAAATCTTCGGGCGATCTTCGGAAGTACTAAAGTGATCTTTGGAAATCTTTGGAGATGTTCGGGTGATCTTCGGAAATCTTCGGAAGTGCTCGGGAAATCGTCGGAAATCTTCGGGAGTGTTCGGGTTATCTTCGGAAATCTTCGGAAGGTTACGTGTGGCCTTCAATAATCTTCCGAAGGTTAATAGCTTAATTCATTGGCTGAGACAAACTCCTATTTTTTCCCAAATTGGACAGTTTCTGCGTTTTTACTCAAAGTCCTTATTGAAAACTGTCCAAATTAAATCCCAAATTGGACAGTTGCCAGAAATTAAAGGATAATAGCTGTGCTGACAATACTGGATTAACTGACTGCTATATAATTAAATTGGGTAATTAGTTAAAGGAATCTTTAATTTATTTAGCTTTTACAGGAGGGTTCTTTGGAACGCCCTACTCTTTTCTGTACAAGAACACACAACATTGAGAAGACCAATTAACCGCAACACAGTTACTCACAACACATTTATTAATTAGTACATCCTGGCAACTGTGATCTTAACGATATTTGTGGCTGGATAGTTGAACCAATAGCTTCGAAATAACAAAACCAACGACTAAAAATTAGCAT